AGCTGGAAAGTCGTGGACCTCAGCATTTGCCAACTTTGTGGGGGTGGAGTGGCTTAGTTTGCTCGCCTACTTGTATTATAGCCTCACAGCAAGTTTACCACGGCTGTATTTTGCTGACTATACATTAGTCATTAGTGGCTTATGTTCATTATGACCAGTACCAGAAATACAGCAACACAACGTAGCCCGAAACCCCAGGCCCAATCCAGCCTCCGTAGCAAAACACAAACCTCACAACCCAGCAAGCCACCCTGCACCATCTGGCGGCTGGCATCTTGCCTCAGACACTTACACCTCTAGAAGCACAAACTGGCATCTTACGTTTGGCCTTTCCGACCCCATAAACGACTGTAGGTTTATTAGCCACGGTTCCAAGAATTCCCAGAAAGCCATGAAAACACGCAGCAACGAACCTGCAGAAGTGTCACGGAAGCAATTGCAACGCAAAAGTGGGGCAACAGCTTGTTTTGGAAGCCCGCGACCGTTTGCGTACAATGCGCTAGTGCGCTCTGGCGACTCTGGCTAGCAGAAGCATGGGTCTGATCCTGTGATCCACAGAAATTCCCTGATCTCAATGGCATCGCTCAGCTTGCGAGCCGTGCAATTCTTTCAGTTGACATCTTGCGAGGATGTCTCGTGCCAGGGTTTTCGACGTTCGTAACGGTGTTTCTCGCCGATGCGAAGGCAAGGCTTCCAAAGATGGTGCCTGCCCCACGACTTTTGGTTATCGACAATGCAGGGATGCGAAAACTGCAAGTCCCAAAACATGCAATGCAGCTGGTCGTTTTGCACATCTTGGCTTGCATGCCGCCAGTCCAGCACAACAACGTCTGAAGCCAGATAGATGGCACAGCTCGAAGCCCCACAGTGAAAGTCCACATGTTGTCAGAGTCAGGAGAATGCGATGACGCGTGTGCTGTGAATCAACCTTTCTGCAGCTGATCGTGCACAGGTTAATGCCGCAAGCCACGTCTTTGGCATGTGGGCCCAACATGAATCTTTGTCGCGATTCAGAAAGACTGAAGGGCGACCTCAAAAGATTGACCTCGCACATGATGTCTGCCAGAAGCGACGAGGCATCAATGCGATGTTGCAGCTGCGCAACATGTCGCGTCATGTGATGGTCGGCATGATTGGAGCCTCCTACGTTTGCACAGTACATGTGCTTTTCAGTTTAAGTTGCAACGTGTGAAGGCGTGAAGCGGGCAAATTAAGTTTGAGCCTAAATTAGATAGAGCGAATATGGCAGCACGAACAAAACGAGCAAAATGGCTCTCGGTGTCTGTGTTCGCATTTATTATGTCACACGGCTCATGATTGAAGAGCTCTCTCTGGGACCCTGGATGAGGGCTAAGGTTAGAAGTTGCAAGAATCTGTCAACACGTGCTGAAATACCTTTCTTGCCCAGTCATTGTAAGGGTTTGCCTAAGTCTTTCGGCAGCGTAAACCTAAGGTCGTGGACATTCTGGACCTGTGCCTTGGAGTGCTTCTCAAGTCTGGCCGATGTGGGCGAGTGATGCGAGTGGCAAGCGGCAGTGACCATTACTTGGCGGAGGTGTAGGTTCCGCAAGAGGTAAGAGGTTCATCAGGTTCGCATCATAGGCCAATCACCCTGAGAAACCATCGTGTGCCCGATACCCTGCACACTTGATTCACGTCACTTCCGCCCGCGCTCTTTGCCTCAAGTGGCCTGTGTTGGTGAGTGGGAGTGTGGAGCGCGGCCGATCTTGGAGTCCCGGCAGATCGGCGTTTGCATGTTCGGCCTGCACCTGAATAATTGTCGTATGTATATACTCATACCTGAATATAAATGTATATAGACGCACATTATTCAAATTCTATTTTAATGCGCATTCGTGCATTGTGTTTATCGTGCGTTTTTGCTACGCCATGAGAAGGGGGGGGGCGGGCCGGAGGGGGGGGGTGAGGGAAATTCTGCTCTCAGGATGCATGCATCGACCTGCTTGGGCATTGCAGGCGCCGCCGGGTCGTGTCTGCTGTGCTTTGCAGATTTTTGTGAGTTGTCCAACTCGATGTAGGGGTCAAGCATGCGCTGTTATACCTCGTGCAAATCAACACGAACCCAAGACAGTCAGCGGAAAGCATGGCGACGGATCATTCCTGACCACTACTGTAAAACGGGAGCCCCAACCATGGTGTTGGTGTGGGATTTTTTCTCTGGTTCGGCACCAGGGAAAACCTTTGCAGACAGAGGAGGATGAGCTGCCTGGCTTGACAGAGCAGTGGCACACCCAGAGAGCCCAATACCCCTTCATTAAGGAATATAGCTCAAATCAATAAGAAGGATCCCTTTATAATTTAAGCTATATTCCTTGATTAAGGGGTCTTGGGGCTCTTTGGGCAAATCATGCACAAGTGAGCACACAGCGCCTCTTGAGCTAAGGATCTTTCTATCCCTTTTGGAGCCGCGGGTGCAAAAACTGGTTTGTCTTGCATTTTTCTTTCCATAAATCAGGGGGGCGGCCAGGAAAGCAGTCGGCCTACTTGGCGACTTTCCGCATGCAGAAGCCTTCAGTCTTTGTGGCCTGATGTTCTGCCTTCTCTCCAGGGCGGTCACGCCGTAGACGAGTGAAGGCTGCATCACCCCTCTGCACGAGCATTGAGCGCAGGATCGGCTACGAGAAGAGCATGAGCTCCAAGTGGACAACCTGAGCAGCAAGATTGCTGAGTTGCAAAAGCGGGTTGACAATGCAGGCCACGAGCCTGCACTTGATGATTGCTCCCCCCCCCTTATACTTACAGTCCTTAAGAGGGATTTCTAACAGGGGGTTACTATAATTTTTGATCCCTATGAAGGACTCTTAGTACAAGGGTGAACATCCCAAATGATGAGCTAAGGCTTTCAACACGACGGCGGCCTAGGTGGGAGAAGTCAGTGTAAAAGCAGATCACGGGTGTTCGCGTGAGCGTGCATGTGGCTGCTTGGCAGAGTGACCCGAACGAGGCACAGGCTCCATTGGGCTGGAAGATCCCAGCAAAGAAGATAAAGCGGCGTTGCTGAGACAAAGCTGGCTGAAATTCTGGGAGCTCAAGTTCAAGTGCTACACCCTAAACCCTAAACAAAAAACCCTAAACCCTAGATTGAGTTTCCAATAACCCCTACATAAGCCGTGAGGCTTGAGTCCTTCCTGCAGCTAGAACACCAGCAAAATCCAGACGTGCGTAGGCATACCTCGATTAAGGCTGGATCCAAAACAGTTGCCCGGCAATGTCCTGCGATATTTCTAATCCGGGTGGCATGAAAAATGACATAGTGAGACGTTCCGCAAGCGGGTGCACATGTGAACTGCGAACTGTAGGAGCCTGTTGGGTTGCACAAGGGAACAGGCCACAAGATTCACGACCTGTCCGCAACCTATATCACTTTCCCAGCTTGCTGAGGCGGAAGCCAGCGATGGCGTGAACGCAATGAGGAGTGGTGGTGGAGGGTCCCCGAAATTACAGAGGAAGCAGACGAACTCACAGCGGCTGGACATCATTTGGCCCGGCCAGGTACGGTTGACCCTAGGGTTTAGGGTTTAGGGTTTTAGGGTTTCGGGTTTAGGGTTTATAGGGTTTAGGGTTTAGGGCCTAGGCTACGGCTCAAGCCATTTTGGCTCAAGTTTGGCTACGAGGCCCTAGGGGGCATTTCCTCTGGGTAATTGAGTTTCTGTGCTTATTGCTGCTATGGACGCTCGGTGCAAGCAATTATGTGCATGCATTGGCTTTTCTATCAGACTGGCCAGGAAAGGGAGGAAACAGGACGTGCTGCCACACCTCTGGAGAGCCCTCCATGGAATGACCGCCCCATCTACCAGACGACCAATCTCTTTGTATACAGCATTGGGATACGTGTCAGAGCCGACATACGAATCTCCTGAGTCTTGCAATCAGGGAGTACAGACTGACTATGAGGTGATTTTACGACCGGACTTCGAGAGAATCATGGAAAATGCGATGGCAGGAGTCAGGAGGCAAACGGAAGTGATGGAGACGTTCCAGCTACGCATCGCTGAGTTGGAGCTTGCATTGGAGAACAAGTTGACGGCTTCAACCTGTCCAGAGACTCGATGTGAAGATAGTTCTGTGGCGGCAGCTGCGAATCGAGTCTCGCTTTGCGGCCCTGTTTCGTCAAGTTCCTCTTCCGGTGCAGTTGAGCAACCATCCATAGTCAAGCCGCCTCCTCCTGTCTTCCCCGCGAGCATTCAGGACCAGATGGAAGCTCATAAGCGACAAAGGCAAGCCTTCAAAATCCAACGACGGAGTCACCGTGAGCAAGTTTTGAGTGCAAGGGAGAGTGAAAGGGAGAAGAGGTTGAGTGAGGAAGGTGGCTAGCCGCTGTCTTGTGGGTTGGGAGTCTTCCGAAGTGATCATGTGCGGTTTGTGAGCAGCCCGTGGACGATGTACAGATTTTGTTTCAGTTTTACTACTTTCATGCATGGTGGGCCATATGTGCTCTGCTGTCGTCCTGCAGTTATCAGTGGTGCCCAGAGGCACAAGTCCCTTGTCTGCATCACTTTCAGGTTGGCAGGAATCCCAGCAAGCTTGTCTCAGTCTGGGTTCAAAAGGGCTAGGCACTTGGCCTCTGACCTTAAAGTGCACCCACCACACAGCTACAACACATGTTGCCACCCCCGTCATGCAGGATTCGATAAAACCATCCAGATGTTGAGGGCCTGCCCCCCCCCCCTCCCGTCCCCCCCCCATTAATTCATTAATTGTTAATTATTCATGGGCAGAAAGGGCAGCAGTCGAGCCCCTTGTGAAAAATTGATTATTCATGGACTTAGCAAGGGGCAGTCTTGGACCGTTTAGCTTAAAAAGCATGAAAGGCGTGGAGCCTTATGGAAGCTTCGCCGGACCGGCCCAGAGGCTTAGGGGCCCCCCTCGGAAACTTCGAGGCTCCACAGTTTCAGAGGGTTGCTGCGGGCGCATGCATAGAGGCGTCTTCAAATTCTAACCCCTCTCCGTAGTCTTATGCGCACATGGCATGGTTCTTTTCATGCCAGTATCCCGTGTGTTGAAACTGTTCAACCACCAAAGCGGAGCGATCTGGCGACATGAGAGCATGTCTGTTCTACCTTCTGCACGCTACATGGTGTCAGCTGAGGTTCACCCACCTTGGTATCCACACGCAAAATGACGGGTGGCGGGACGCGCCTGGCAACTGTTTTGCTCGGTATCGCCGCTTTGTGTGTCCTGGTACGCCATACATTTGCAAGGCGTTGTTTTTATCTGAGAAATGGGGCTTTCCGAAATAGGGGGTACCTTATTGGGGTCCTTAGTATAAGGGGATCCTACTATATATGTGGGTTATCTATATTCAAGGTCCCTTATTTTCGTAAACCCCCAAATCATGCGACATGTCTGCAGTCCCTAAACCCTAAACCCGAAAAGAGGGCGTTCATGCGCGGAGGCAAAGTGCACTGTTCGAGACCTCCTTTGCCAGCTTGATCGCTGCCGGGAAGCAATGGGGACCGAAGAGCATGCATTCAAATTTACATCTAGGATACAAGCTTAGGCCATAGACTCGATACGACATATATACATATACATATACATATACATATACATATACATATATATATATAATATGTAGATATTTATTTAGTTATTTACAATACAGACTTTTTTCTGACATGTTTTGTAATCATCACATTGAGCTAGATACGATTTCACAAGTGAATAATATGCAACGTGTAGTACATGTAACATATGATATATAGTGCACATATATAGATATATGTAGAGAATGAAGTGTATATATATATGTATGTGTGTGTATCTTGATGGATGTAAGACATGGCAATGTTCCAGTGCATCTGACAAGTTTGTGTGATGAAGAAACTAGACAAGGGTACTCCGAAACAAAGCTTGATGTGAAAGCGAGGGCAACAGCAGAGCAAAGGGGTGGCGGGGCACTCGCCGACACGGTCAGGGTTCTCCTGGGTTCGGGCATGATTCGTGCTTGTGAATTGGAGTACCGGCTTCCTATGTAAAGTGCAAATGCAGAATTCAGGTCCGAGGTTTGAGGTTTGAGTGGCAGTTCTCGGGCAAGACGGTAGCTCCACCGAGTGATGTATTACGGTGTTTTGGCTCCTTGATCACCTTTCTGTCGCGTGTTGGTCGTTCCTTGCAGCCTCGAGAACGATACCTTTGCCTAGCGTGAACACTCCGCGAACATGCTTAAGAGAGTTCATGACCCTTGCGTTTCTCCTCCCCGATTCCGACGGCGCTACGTCTTTGCTTCGCTTATCTGCTTCCCGACATCCATGCATCGTGTACGCCCTTAGCCACCACAGCCCGATGAGGTGACCCTGTTAGTAGAAGTTTGCATGCGTGATTCGGCAAACTTACCGTGGTTAGTAGGGAATGAGGGAATGAGGTACCCTGTATAATCCTTTAAAGGGTGTATATAGGGGGATATGGGGTACCTCACTCCCCCCTTCCCTACGAACCGACAGTACGCAGCAAAGCGAGGTTTTGAATGCATTGGTGATGGCTGCTGACGTCCAAGTCATAGGCCCGGGAGGGTCGTCAGAGAGACCTGGGGCAAAGAAGGGGTTTAGGGTTTAGGGCTTTTTCTCTGGCAACTTCAGTCTGAAATTGCAATTCAAAAGCACCCTGCCGGTTGTACCTCTCGCCACTCGTACTGTCGGTTGCAGAATGCTGCAGACATGGCATTTTACGCAAGCCTGCAAACTTGACTTGCTACATGGAGTTTGTGAACAATGCCGAGACTGGAGTCTGCCAGACGGATAAGCCAAAAGCACGACGCCCGCCACCCCAAGCCCAGCACAACTGCTTCCCTGCCGTGCTCTCTCGCAGCCCATTGCGCTGAACCCCCAAGCAACAAATTTACCCCAACATGTTGCGAAAACCCCAACGTTTCACAACGACACCCTCAAAAGTCTGCCTTGTTGTTAAATCAGCCTAAATAAGCATTTCACCTAGGCGAAACACTTGCTTTCAATATTATGGGGCACGAGTACGGTGTTTACAGGTGGCGGAGTCTTTGTCCTAGGTCCCTGTAGTCCCTCCTCTCCTAAAGTGCCGTGCGTGTTGGCTTGTCAGGTGCCTTCCTTGTTGCATTGCCCTTCTCTGTTGGGCTGTGTTGTCAGTGTTTCTGAGTTCGAACACCCTGACGACCGTAGCCCTAAACCCTAAACCCTAAACCCTAAACCCTAAACCCTAAACCCTAAACCCTAAACCCTAAACCCTAAACCCTAAACCCTAAACCCTAAACCCTAACCCTAAACCCTAAACCTGATGGAAGTTGGGTTGACACGTTGAGGGGTTTTAGCAGGATTGCACGGCATCGGGCCTCGGGCTGACTCGGGCTCAGCACTGCTTGGTGGGTTTGGGTATGTTTCGGGTATACGGTTTAGGAGTTCAGGATTGCACTGCTCTGAGAGTTTAGGATACAGTAGCACGGCTTTGGATTGCACTGCTTTGGGCCAGGCGTTTTGGGTGTAAAGGAACCGAACCTGTATGGATCCTTGTGTGCTTGCATATGGGGAGGGGTGGGGGGAACAGTCCCCAGATTGATGGCAGACATGTTCGGGCTGATTGTGAACTTGTCTAACTCATTGTCCCGGAAACTTCAGGCATTGACATTGGGGCTGAGCTGGCCTACGCAGCGTATCTGCCAACATCTCTGACTGCACCATGGGCAAGGCCAATGTTCGAATATTTCGACCTTGGCTTGCATTTCGGCCCGCCTGAAACGGGATTTGCATCCATGTGCCCATAGGAGAAGCATGCACGCAGGCTTGAAGATTTTGTCTTAGAGGGTACTTGCAGACAGCATGCCCAAAGGCCTTTACGTCTCAGCCTTGCAAGCCTCAACCCTAAACCCTACACCCCAAACGGCCCTAAATCGAATGCACGCTGAGGAGTGGTTCTTTGGCATCGTGCTTCGGATTAACCCAGAGCCCTTTTCCTGTTCGCCCTGAGAACTCTGGTCACGCCCTGGCCTCGTGCTTGGAACGCACGCCACCAAAACAAAAAGCAAGGCCCTATAGAGCAATGCAAGGTAAAGTTTGCAGCCGATTTTGTCGGCTTGTGTAGCATGAGCACTGCCCTGCCAGAGCACAAGCAAAGCCGCTGCTATCAGCCAGCACTGAGGCCTTCACAGTTGAGATCGTCATGAAATTTTCTGCATTCGGCTTGGACTTTGTCAAAGACCTTTGGAACTGGATTGACACGTTCATCGCATCTTGGCATATGCCGGCCAGCTGTAGTGAATACTATACAGGCCGCAGGTTTCTTCTCAGTTTGCATATGGCTATGCAGTGGCTAGCTTTTTTTTATGGGACTACGCCAAACAGTTTCCAAATGCGACTTGTTTTTGGACCTTGCACGGAATCTAGTGTATGAGTTGCGAGGTGTGCTGTTGGTACATCGATGTGGTCGCCGAAGACATATTACCCATCAACACTACGCTGCTGCGATTGCTCCGCCTGGTGCGGCTCCTGCGATTGCTCAGGCATAGATTTGCTTCCCTTGCGGTCAAGAGTTTGCAGGCATCTTGTGCGACCCTACAGGGGGCACAGGGTTTTGACGCATGCTGTGGTTCAACACGCTGCCAAAATTGAGATGGCATATTGAAAGCCGCAGACGCGCATGCACGAGCTTTCCTGCCAGGCTGGTTAGGCTGATCAAAACTTTTGCGACTGTGCTGCACTTTGGGCTACTTCACGTGTCTGTTGCCAGCTATAGCCCTAAACCCTAAACCCTAAACCCTAAACCCTAAACCCTAAACCCTAAACCCTAAACCCTAAACCCTAAACCCTAAACCCTAAACCCTAAACCCTAAACCCTAAACCCTAAACCCTAAACCCTAAACCCTAAACCCTAAAAACCTAAACCCTAACCCTAAACCCCCTAAACCCTAAACCCTAAAACCCTAAACCCTAAACCCTAAACCCTAACCCTAAAAACCCTAAACCCTAAACCCTAAACCCTAAACCCTAAACCCTAAACCCTAAACCCTAAACCCTAAACCCTAAACCCTAAACCCTAAACCCTAAACCCTAAACCCTAACCCTAAACCCTAAACCCTAAACCCTAAACCAGGTTCTGGGGTTGCAGTGGCATCCCAAAGTTTCAAATTCATCGGGCATTCATGCATGCGTGGGTGCACAGGCGCAGGCGCATGCTCGTACGAGTCCACCCAACAAACTTGCTGGCCTCTCTCCCCATCTTATTCTTAGGGTTTGGGGTTTAGGGTTAGTAATTTAGGGTTTTCGCCCAGGCTGAGTAGGGGTCGTGTCCTTTCCTCAGTCCAGTTGCAAAAAGGGCACCTACCCCAAAATCGCGGAGGGGGCATCACACCCACTGGCCTCACCCGGACGAGACCTGTAGCCTCGCGCCCCTTGGGGCGGCCACTTCCGTCGCCATGCGTGCCAGAAGAAGGAAGGAATGAAGGCTCCTAGGCGATGTCCGGTAGAGGAGAAAATAGTGAATTTGTATTCCCAGGCCCGAACTTACAATTTTCAATGTATCTGACGTTTCAAATGCTTTAACATAATATTGCGTCCTTTCCAAAATTTCATATTGCTAGTATGTCTTCTCTACCGAAATATGTAAATCATCGCAATATTCAACTTCTCGCGCGCGTAACTTAAAATCAAGTCCGAGCCCTGTAGCCTCCACATCACATTGAAATGTGATATTCACCGCGTTGACATACTCTTCCATCTAAGTGGGGAGGGGGGAAGGGCGGGGGGGCGACCACGCACAGAAGAACATGTAAATACACATAGGAATAGGTGTATGTATGTACATGTGGATGTGTATGTACCTGTATGCGGCATGCGAATGCGACAGACTGGAGGAGATCTTTGGGGGTAGACCATACTCTTCCGTCTGACGCAGACATTTGTAGCCGTTTTAAGGTTGTGCATCCCAGATTTGCGGTAGTGCTGCGAAGCAAGCGAAATGCTCAGGATTCCCTTTATCTCATGACGACAGCTTTGAAAGGAAGTGCTCTTATTCTGACCTGGGCTTGCAACTTTGCCGCAAAAAGCAAAACAAGTCTCGTCCCAAACGGTTCGGGCTGCTGCATATTCCCCGAGGTGTATTACTGCTGGTCCTGCAGGCTGGCTCTGTGTGGCACCGTGTTCAGAAAGCTGTGTCACCGAATTCCGTTGGTCACCTTGCTGTCAGATACTACTGGCTCTCCTTTTGAACCAGATTTTGTGACTCGTCTGCATGCAAGAGTGCTCCCAGGTTCTGGGCTGTGCCTTCCATTCTGCCCAGTCTGGTGGAAACCAGAATACATCAAAGACACCTCGGGGCGAATAGTTAGAGACTTGCCCACCGACCAGAGTTCCGCAGTTGGGAAAGTGATCCCCACCCGGCGCCATCATACACCTGTCTTGATGCCTGTCTCGGCCCCCCTCTCGAGACGTGCTGCGTGTGGCGTTGAGGTATGCTGTATATTTCCCCAGCGACGACTACCCTCTCACCGAGCGACTGGAAGCTTGGACAGTGGCAACTTCCCAGAGAGCCCAATACCCCTTAATTAAGGAACATAGCTTAAGTTATAAAGGGATCCGAATCCTTACTATGATTTACGGAATATTCTTAGTTAAGGGGTATTGGGCTCTTTGGGTAATGCTCCGTCCACGGACAGGGGCGGTTCTGATGATTTGTCTCCTTCTTCCGCCACTCGCGGAACAGACTGGTCCATCCATCCATGCCAAGGAACTCTTCGAGTATTTCGGGACGCTGCGCCCTCAGACAGGCGAATTCTCAAGTAACGCCCAGGCACGGCTTGGACCGTAAGACTCAGTAAGGGGGTTTGTGGTTTGGGGTTTAGGGTTTAGGGTTTAGGGTTTAGGGCCAGTAAGATCAGTACGCCTCGGCAAGGGCATTCCTCGAACAGGCTGTGGAGTTGCAGCTTCATTTGCGGTCTCGCGTAGGTGTCACAAGGCAGTTCTCTAGTATGTGTGTCGGGTGTGTCGCCTTCGGGCACCCTGCAATAAGCAACCCCTTAAAGTAGACCCCAAAAAGTAGGATCCCCTTATACAATAAGGTGCCCCTAGAATCGTAAACCCGCATCTGCCTTCTTCGAAATGTTGGGACTGGGTCCTGGTCCATGAGCTGACATCAACCCAAAGAGCCCAATACCCCTTAGTTAAGGAATACTCCTTAAATCATAATCAGGATCCCTTTATCATTTAAGCCACATTCCTTAATGAAGGGGTATTGGGCTCTCTGGGAAAAAGGGACGAATGCATGGCAAGCACCTTCCTCTGGTCGTTAACCTTCCTAAAAGACTTGAGTTCACAGTCTTGTGCAGCCCAGGTTTACTCGCTCAATGCTTTCAATGTTCGAGATAACATTGGGCAACTGGCCACCTGTATGCAGGCCCGCAGAATGTCCGCGCAGCAGTTGCGAAGATGGCAATCATGGCAAAAGTAAAGTTCTATTCGGCTAGTAAGCAGAACGAGAGGAACAAGCTACCGAGAACATGACCGGCCTTGTTGCAAAGGGGTTTGGCGTAGCCTTTGCCTGCGTTGTTGTATTGAAGAGGGATGCAATCACTGACCCTGTGCATCCAACGTCTCTGTTTATGCTGTCTCTGGAAAAACGATCTGCACACGGAACATGGCAGGCTACTCTCTGAAAAAGTTTCAGCGGCTTGGCTGAATTATTAGATTGGCTGGTGAGTTCTTCTCCTTGCCATCAGTTGACTTCTAATAGATCTCCTTGCCATCAGTTGACTAAGGAATGGTTCATGTTGCTTTGCGTCTTGCACAAGCTGGTCATTGGGTTTGCCGTGGTGGGAGTCATCAATGGCGTCTTCATCCAGGCGAGCAGTGCACTGATGTACAGTATTGCGCTGCGCTGAGTCCGATATGTGCCACCTGCCCACACACAGGAAACCTTCAAAGTGGCATCTTCTGACAACCAAATCATGATGAGGCTGGTGTGAGTGGACGAAAGCACCCGGATCTGACTGGAATCCTGCATGACACGTCTTGACAGGCAGAAGGAGCGGTCGTCAAATTTGCATGAGATGAAAATGCTCCTGGGAGTCACAAAAAAAATGCACTGTCAACTTGCTCTGGCATGTATGTGAAGATGTTTGTGCACTGACTGGAATGGTGGACTTCAAATGCTTCTGGTTTCGCTGGCTTCCCCACCAAGGCGACAATTGTTCTTGGAAGCTGACAATGATCGCTGTGAGCTAAGATTGCTGAGAGTAGGGAGCGGGATAGATCCGGAAAGCATGTCGCAGCGAGAACAGCAGCACAGCGGTAAAACTTGTCAGACATGAGACATTATGCTGGCTTTGCGGTACCTGATACCCCCTGCTAAGAAGACGGCCTGGTGAGCCGGGAGGAGTGGCGCGCACTTGCGCCTCGCTGCACACATGGCGTAGCTTACGCAGTTTACAGGTCATGTTTGTTCACAGGCGCCCACAACAAATCCCATCCTGCAACGCAGCAAGCACGCGTAGTCGTCGTCCTCGTCGTCCTCTCCCTCGTCCTCGTGCTCGTCCTCCTCGTCGTCGTCAGGTGGTTTCTGCTGTGCCCAAGTGCAGTGTTGTTAGATTTTGATTGTGCAGCCACAAGCTATTTACCAAGTTTTACCCACTTGGGCTCACACCCGCGAAGAGCCGAAGCGCCTACGGTTAGGGTTTAGGGTTTAGGGTTCAGGGTTCAGGGTTTAGGATTTGGGGTTAGGCTTTAGGGTTTAGGGTTTGGGGTTTAGGGTTCCAGGTTCAAAAGGGCTCTGCAAGTGGCAACAGACTGCGCTGGTGGTGTCAACTGTAGAGCAATACGGCTTGCACCTTCGATTGTCCCATCCTGTCCCCTTGCCCGCTTGCATGGTGTTCGTTTTTTTTCTCCGACTTTTCTCAGAAGACTTCCATCGTGGCTCAGTTCGGCATCAAAGTCAGTAGATCCCTGTGCATTTCGTTGTCAATGCTCCATTTCACCACCGCAATTGGTAGTTTTAACGCTACGCGACCCGCCTCGGCCCGGCCCAGCGCATCCGCGTGAGCATGGTGATTCCGCAGCGCCCAAGTCGCTGGACCCCCAGCAATAAGGGTTGGGTTTAGGGTTTAGGGTTCCGGGTTTATGGTTTATGGTTTGGGGTTTAGGGTTGAGGGTTAGTTTAGGATTGAGGGCTTTTAGGGTTTTTTTGGGTTTAGGGTTCAAGAGACGGTTCGGCTTGGATAGAGCGAAGGGGGGGGGTAGGGGGGGGGGGGGGGGGGGGGGAAGGGGGAGGCGGGAGTGCTTCGGGCTTAAGGCTTAAGGTTTAGGGTTGAGGTTCAAGCTTAGCCTCTTCGGCTCGTGTAATGCATCCCTGGCCGTGCTCACACCACTTGTTTGAACGCTCACCAATATTCCACTGGCTTTGGGGGGGGGAGGGGGTAGGGGGGTAGGGGGGTGGGGATAGGGCAGGTAGGCAGGGCGGAGGGGGGGGGCCTGCTGGGAGGGGCTTCAGCTGCCTCTGATCCTGGCGAACCGTCCGCTTGCGGACCTCGGTTTCCTAGGGGGGGGTACCCATTTGAGGCAAAAAAAGTGGTCCAAAAACATGTTTTGGGTGTGGGGGGATACACCTCCGGCCCGAGGCCTCGGCGGATTTGAGGCGATTTTACGCAGGGCCCCCTTTTTCGCCCGCCTGAATGACACAAGTCAGGTGCGCTGTCATATATCGAAAGGCCGGTTTGTACGGCAAGTGCACCTGCAACACTCGCAATCACAGCGTTCAAGGTAAGCCATCCTGCTGTACAGTTATGGCTTGGCTCTATGGATCTGGACGCGGCCGATGTCCTAGCCTAAGCCGTATGGGCTTAGGGTTCAGGGTTTAGGGTTGGGGTTTAAGGTTTAGGGTTTGGGGTTTAAGGTTTGGGGTTTAGGGTTGGGGGTTTAGGGTTCAGGGTTTAGGGTTGGGGGTTTTGGGTTGGGCACTCAGGATCAGGACAAGCAAACCTTTTGGGAGCGAGGCGTGAGCAACATTGGAGTCTTACCCAGGCCAACTGAAAGCAACAAGCGAAGCCATACGAAACCGACCGATCAGACGGCATAAGCTACATAGGCTTACCTTGAATAATAATAATAATAATAACAATAATAGTAAGTTGTAAAAAATGGTGTTAATAGTAATACCAATAGCAATATAGGCCCTTGGAGGTCTTAACAGCGCGGGTGCATTGTTTCCAGGGGGATGGGCTCTACGATCTCATCCTGGACGCTGACAAAGATGGCGATCTCACCATGGACGAGCTTATCAGGCGCAGAGCCGGAAGTTGATGTAAGATGGGTTTAGGGTTTAGGGTTTAGGGTTTAGGGTTTAGGAAAATCGGGGTACCCTCTTTGAAAACTATGGGGGGTCCCTTTAAGGGGCTTCTACACTATTGCTAAAGGGGTACAAAGGGGTGCCCCCCCATTTTGGAAAATATCCAATTGTAGCTGATGTCGGGTCGGCCCGTGCGCGAAAAGGTAACGTCGGTCGCCTAGTAAGCCAGGATGCCTTGTCATTCAGTTACGCACTGGATTCGCAAGCGTGACCCTAAACCCTACACCCTAAACCCCAAAGACAGCGACCCTTTGTGGCAGGGGAGTGGCTCGCCTGAAAGGACAGGCCAGAAGCTATGACCTGCAGATGCTTTTGCGACAGGCTGGGGCCAGTGTCGACCTTCTTCTCGCATCAGAGTGAAGTTGCAATCATGCTCGTGCCCCCACATCTGCAAGCATGCGGCATAGCGGCCCAATGTTGATCCAAAGATTGTAGGTGAATTTCCTCACAGATCAAGTGGATAGACTCAACCGCAAGTTCATGGACAAGGGTACTGGTTCCGCAGCGCTGCAGGACTAGGGACTTTTGAAGCCACGCCTCGTGATCCTGAGCTTCAGGGTTTAGGGTTTAGGGTTTGAGGTTTAGGGTTCTCAGCCTCACCAGGACCTCGGCACAGTGACGGAAGACGTTGGAAACGAAGGACATGCATACCAATTAATGCAGGGATCCGCATGGCGCTAGCCGAGCGTTCGGCCGCCACTTGAAACTATTGACTGGCGAACTTTATTGGACAGCTTGCAATACACAGGCACAGATGTTGATTGCGAACGCACGAGCAAAATATTTGCGCTTGTCTCACCCAGCCCGTGCGATCCTCATTCATTAAAAAATTGACTTCAATCAGCTGCACCCTAAACCCTAAACCCCAAACCCCAAACCCTAAACCCAAAGCCTCAATCAGCTGCAGCTATGGATCTGGAGGTGGATCGGTGGGCAAAGTGCCTTGGATCCTGGACGCTTTCCATCTTTCTCAGATTGCTCTCGTTTGTCGCGGCTCTTGCTCACAAATGTGACTTGGGCCATGACAGGGTGTAGGCCTTCGTGGGAGCAATGTGTACAGGACTATATTTCAGAGGCCGATGACTTCGCTTGCGTGAAAGGGCCCTAAGCCCTAAACCCTAAACTCTGGAATTGGAGCTCCTGCAACTTCAAGAGGGGAAGTCAAGCCACAACTGTCGCTGTCCAGGCGTTTTCTCTAAAATGAGATGTTCGGCAGCAATCAGTTGCATGCCTCTGCCGCTCGCGACAAGAAATCACGGACTCGTGACGTGGACAGTCTGGGAACCCTGCATACAGCAGGTTTAGGGTTTAGGGTTTAGGGTTCAGGGTCTTTGAGATGCTCTTGCTTCTTTCGATCTTCCTTCTCGCCCTCCCCGCCCAGGTGCATGGAATACAACTGTCGCGTTCTGATCATGGACACGCACAGGGGCGTGAAGGAGGACGCAGCCTAAAGAATGTTTGGGGCTGTTGAGGGCATCTTGGGAGTTCAGTATCTGCTCATGACGGGTTTAGGTTTAGGGTTTAGGGTTTAGGGTTTAGGGTTTAGGGTTTAGGGTTTAGGGTTTAGGGTTTAGGGTTTAGGGTTTAGGGTTTAGGGTTTAGGGTTTAGGGTTTAGGGTTTAGGGCTACAGGCCTGAAGAGGAAAAAGCAAGTACCCAGATAAGACTGAATCGCCTTGAGGAGATTGAGCATGCCAGTGACAGCTGCTGCTTGGCCCCATTTGCTTGCAGCTTGTGGCGGTCCCAATATGGGGGTTACGAAGTAGGGACCCCTAACATAGAATCCCAAATAGTAGGATAATGACCCCAAAAAGGTACCCCGAATGTCGGAAGCCACCATGTCGAGTTGCATTTCTTGTATTCACTTGTGGTGCACTCGGCTTAGGCTTGGTCTTTGCAGCTCGGCCTGAAGAGAGGTGTGATCTCAGAATTGGCTTGTAGAAAAGGGCGGGCTGAGTGGTTGCTTAGTGCTTCATAAGCTGTGTCATAGTGTGTCCCACGCGTCGTGGTCTCTGAAATTCTGGCCGAACTACTCTACACCGGAATCACACAACTCTGCACGAGTCCGGCCGGGCGCAAACCGACGGCGTGTTTTACGTGCGCTAGATCTCGAGAATCAAGATGTGGACCTTGCTTCTCGACTGAACGGCCAGAAACCAGACAAAACCAGATTCCTCCCACATCCTTCCCCGCAAAAACCGAGCTTTTGCTGACGTTCCGGATGAGCGTTTTGTGTAGATATCCGCGAAGTCTCAGAGGCGGATTTTGCTCGTGATCTTGAATGGAAATGCCGTATGGTAAAATGCCTAGATTTCAGGACCCGGTTAGGTCTCAGTTCGTGGGCGGCAAATCTCCGGAAGCATCAAACAGGGACTCCAAGCAATTACCCCCAACAGAGGCTTGGGTGCAAAAATTTCGGGGCTTACGATATTAGAGGGTACCTTATTGGGGTCCATGTTATAAGGGGATCCCACTATTTGGGGGTGAAAATTTGGGGTCCCTTATTGAGAGCGTCCCGAAGTCCATGAACTCACTGCTTGTCAGCCTCAGACCCACACAGATTTGAACAAGTTGCGCCAACTGACTCGCGCCATCGGGCGCCTCTTTGGGGCCATGTGGGGGAAGAGAGAACTGGCAGCCATCCCCCAGCTGTGCACGATGGCACCCCAGAGCAATGGTGAAGGGTGGGGCCACCTATCCCCCAGCTGCACACGACGGGCTCCGAGATTTCGTATCCCCCCCGGCAAAAAGTATATTATTGAGATAGCAGCCCAAAGTGAAAGACTGTTGAAAAAATGCATGCCTCGGAGGTCTTTTTTATACCACCTGCAGAAAAACAAGGCCACGCCAAAGCAACGCCGCCCACACACACAAATCTCAACATGTTGTTCTCTACAATGCTGTCCAAGGTGGACGAGAACATGGGAGCTGGGGTGAGGGCCTTTGCGTCACAAGCTCTAGGCTCTGGACTCTAGGTTGTCATCTTGCAGTATATTCACGCAGCATGGTGCCCTAAACCCGAAATCCTAAACCCTAAAGCCCAAAAGGTCGCTTGAACCAGCACATAGATGACAGCGCTAGGTCTTGGCTTGGAACTACTTCTTTGAGACCAAGCCTGTCCCGCTGATTCTGTCGCTTGGAAGGGACAGCTGTTCAGTAGCTGTTCATTGCTGTTCATTGCGGCTATGGCTTCGTATCCTAGTGTCCTACTTAAGGCTGATGGCATTGTCTCATATGTCCGCGACACACACAGCAGAAACAACCTTTCAACAGCGTCCGCAATGCGTTGGTATCGTGTAACTCACACATAAACCAGGAGCCTGAAGGAAACCCAGCGCCTATGGCCTATGTGTTGGTGCACGCAGATTAGCTGTTCACAAGCAGGAGCTGTAGGAGCCCTAATAGGGCCTGATGCGATCACGCGGCAGCGGCACGGACCTGCCCAGAGAGCCCAATACCCATCAATTAAGGATATAGCCTAAATCACAAAGGGATCCTTATCATGATCTAAGGGAAATTCCTTACTTAAGGGGTATTGGGCTCTTAGGGTGCTATGCTGAAAACGGTTTAGCTAAGGCGGGCAGTCGAAGATGCCCATTTGGGTCGCAGTGCTTTCCGAGACGGAAGGGCGGCGCTGCTGCAATCTACTGCAGGTACATGGTTTAGGGTTTAGGGTTTAGGGTTTAGGGTTTAGGGTTTAGGGTTTAGGGTTTAGGGTTTAGGGTTTAGGGTTTAGGACCTCAGACCAGTGGCAAAAGGGCTCAGGGTTTAGGGTATGATCTTATCACAATGTGCCGCACTTCCTTCACTGATTGCTTAGTTGAAGAACGCTGAAGAACACTGGGTTCAATGACTTATGTTGAACCTTTGGCCACAACCAAAACATGGATAAGGTGCCTATATTGAAATATATACATACACGGAAACACGTGACCTCGTACAGTGCCGGAACAAAGAAAGCAGAGACTAGCATCCAACTGTTGCCGGTTTACTGAAGATTTGCCAAGCAGGAAGTCGTGCAGCTCAGCTGTCTGCTCGGATACATTGCTTTCAGAGTCGATCTATGCCCACAAATCGGTGTCTTTCTGCAGCTTGAGCAAAACGCCAACTACTTCTGAGCCGCGCAAGCTAGCCACTAAACAAGAGAGACCCCCTAAGCCCTAAGCCTTGAAGCTGCACCCCCAGAACAATTGAGCCATGGTGCCATGGAGACGTGACCCATACTGTCACGAAGTAGGCCGCGAAATCCCGCCAGCATTCCTCCAACGACTCTGAGGTTCTGCAGGCAAGCAACCCTCCACATCTTCTTTCTGATAAGATCTGCGAGCTAAGCGTCCCTAAACCCTAAACCCTAGCCCCTAACCCCTAAACCCTAAACCCTAAACCCTAAACCCTAAACCCTAAACCCTAAACCCTAAACACCTGAGGCTTTGGAGGATGGTTTGGACTCTCTCGACTCGGGCTTTATGGATGCTCTTATGGAAGCCCGGCCTGGCACCAGTTTTATAAGAACATGACCCTAAACCCTAAACCCTAAACTGGGGGCAGAAACACTTTTGACCCAAATTCTCGGACGGTCCTGCCGAGGTCTCTTTCTCAGGGCCCTTGGGATGCTCTGCTTGGGATGCCATGTCGGGGGGGTCCGCGCCACACAGTTGGGTTTAGGGTTTAGGGTTTAGGGTTTACGGTTTAGGGTTTAGGGTTTAGGGTTTAGGGTTTAGGGTTCTGGGAGCCATGCTGCTAGGACATTTCCTCCCTAGATGAAATGGATGATGCTCGTCTTGGTGGCACGTGAGGATGAAGATGAGCTGGAAATGGTGGGGGGGTGTGGGGGGGTGGGGCTGGAACCTCATGCGCTCAGAGGTGAGGGGTCCCTATCTCCTGCCCGCTGGGCCTGTGCCATCGGTAAATCAGTTTATCCCAATCGGATTCTGCGGCTGCTGCTGCCCTTGCTGCTGCCATGCATGCATCAGATGCATCTCCTGCCCAGATCGCTGCTTCCTCGACCCAACAACTTCAAAACTCTTGCGAATCCGCCCTTGACTGACAAACCTAATCTTCCTGAGGCCACCCAAACGAATGGCTGAGGCCAAAGCCCTCCCGGAGTTTGGTGTGCTCCCTGAAACACTTTTGGTCTTCAGCGATGGGGATCTGCCCCCCCTCCGTGTGTGCCCCCCCTGCCCTTCCCAAGACCCGCGTAACCCAAAGAATCCTTGTCGAGTGTTTCGACCCCTTTCGGGGTACCCTGGGGTAGCCTCACTACAAGCCAGTATGCAGGCATGCCACGCAGGATACTCTGGCAGGGTGGAACAACTGGGAAGGAGGCCGGGGTTCACTCCAAGCGCCATGTCCTGCAGGGCACTGCGCATGAGAATTCATGAGAAAGTTTTCACTTGTGCGTCTCAATGCCCTTGAGTCCTTGAGGCCCAGGAGCGGAGCTGCTATGGCGTAGCTACAAGACCTTGAAGCCTAAATTAAGGATTCGCGCGACTTTGAATCGAAACTTCGTGAACTTCAAGAACAGTTGAAACCAAACCTCAGCTTTCCCTTCGGACGCCTCGAAGCATTCTTGAGAAACGCAACTTCCTGGGGTTCAAGCATTGCAGCCTCAAAAAGGACAGGCAGCCAAGGCACTTTCTTGTGGATCTAGCGGCGCAGAAGCCTTCAGAAGAGAAACAAAAT